CAATTTATCATTAATTAAACACATACTCTGATTTCTTTTTAAATAGCCAGTCTGTTCCTATCAACATCAAACATGGCAATCCAGTTGTGAAAAACAAATGCACTATAAGTAGAAATTATGAAAATAAACATCTACCGTAAAAACCCATGTAATTTGCGCACTTTTTTTCAGAAATTAAATACCCAAAGTGGGGGGTGCGTAAAATACACAGGTATAGAAAATTTCAAGTTTTTTTCAGGAAAAGATCGACAATTCTGGGAGATCGCCATCTTGGATTATCTCCCTTGGTACACGGAAGTCTAAGACAAATGACGGTCAACAAATTTATTTATGTCAAACATTAATAAATGATACAGTTGATACATAATGTGTTGTTATCTGAGTTTATGTGAAAAGTATTATTAAATAGGTAACCGTTAACAAAGAAAGTTTAGCCAAATTCCTTTGCCAGAGAATCGCCGAAAAATAAAATATTGCTAAAATAAATTGATGTATGCCAATATGCGCACACGTGTGTGTCATGTGTGATCAGATAATTCAAAGAAAACGAACAACAAAAGACACATTTTACGTAGTTTCTTCTTGGTTTTTAATATCATTTTACGTCAATAAAAAAAATTCATAAGAAATATATTTAAAATAAAATTATTCAGAGATCAATTTTTGGAGCATGAACATCGGGTTTTTTTTCCAGATTTTTTGGGTGCACAAAATATTTGAATAGAAGCTTTTTTTCCCGATTTTCAGCCTCAAAAATTACCTGCGCAAATTACACAGGTGCGCAAATTACATGGGTTTTTACGGTATTTAAAAATATCTGACTTGGGTCAGTGGGTGTATCATAATTTTTAAGAACAACATTAACATGATTGCGATTTCATGACTGTCGCAAAGTCTCTTGTCGTGTGTACACGAAACAGGAATGAGACGTCATAGTCTTTTGTTGACTCTCAGGGCAGCGTAACAGTAACATTTTTATGTTGGGTGTTGCTCCTCTGTAATCTTCAAAGGCAGGTATCAGCCTTGCAATTGGTCAGGTTTATTAGCTAGCCATGTGCCTTCAATTTTGCTATGATATATTCCAGGGTGCAGAAAGTGTAAGAGAACATAACCCCCCAAGTATCGAGGATGCGCCATCTGATGATGAATAATAACAAAAATATTTCCATGATAATCCTATTGTGAACTTTCGACTGATTGATGTATTGTGACGATTGTTGCACACTCTGATCATGGTCAATCTATCTTCGTTGGAAGAGTTACATTTATAGCCTTACACCTTCCCGAGATGTTGACACCAGTAACAAAAGGGAGAACACTTTGAGTTGACAGTGTTCTCTGAAGATATCAAATAGTATGTATGAGATATTTTGGTGGTCATGAAAAAGAACGGTGGAGCAGGACAAGTAGGAATCGCCTAGTTACAATGTATTGGCATATAGTTTTGTATGAAGGGAGAAGGATTTTAGAAATGCACCCAAATTTCCCCTATTGGGCCCCGCCCCTCCTGCTCTCAAGGGCAGTCATACCCTGCATGTATACAGCATTTAGTCCCCTTTGCCCAAGGATGATCCAGACAAAATTGGTCAATATCCAGTAAACTGTTCAGGATTAGTAGTATTTTAAAGAAACAAGAGGCCCAGAAGGGCCTGTATCGCTCACCTGTTTGTTTTGTTACATTGAGTTGTTGGCCAAATATTGTGATATTACGTTGATTGGATATTCATCAGAAGCGGTTGAAGGTTTACAGTTATTTGACCCCTGTGACCTTGAAAGTATACATAGGCATATTCATGTGCAAATGTTGTTGAACTCAAACAAAGGATGCTGGTGGGGGAATTTGTTTGTTGAAGGGTTTTGTTTGTTGTTATTCGTTTATTGTTTTAGCAACAACTAAGGTGGTATAAGGATGGTGTCGCATGACGGACATATGACTTTGAAAGTGTAGGTCAATGTCATTTTTATTCGCAAACTTCATTAGGTTCCATCATAGGATGCTACTGGAAAATATCATGACGTAGGGCAATCAGATCTTCAGAAGAAGTTGTTTGGAGGTTTAGACCTATTTAACCCATGACCTTGAAAGTAGTTCAATGCCATTTTCATTCACAAACTTTGTTGGGCTCCATCATAGGATGCTACTGGCCAAATATCATGGCTCTAGGCCTTTCAGATCTTCATCAGAAGTCGTTTGAAGATTTAGACCTATTTGACCCCTGTGACCTTGAAAGAAGGTCAAGTTCATTTTCATTCACAAACTTTGTTGTGTGCCATCATAGGATGGTACTGGCCATATATCATGACTCTAGGGCTCTCAGATCTTCAGAAGAAGTCGTTTGAAGATTTAGACCTATTTGACCCCTGTGACCTTGAAAGTAGATCAAGGTAATTTTCATTCACAAACTTTGTTGGGATCCATCATAGGATGCTACTGGCCAAATGTCATGTAGGCCTTTGTGATCTTTAGAAGAAGTTGACGGATGGACGCTGCACCATGCCAAAAAGTTTACTGGCACACGCCAGATTGATGACAGACTGGCCCTGTGCCATGGTATAAGCTCAGTGGTCTCCTTCAGACCAGGTGAGCTAAAAATGAGACTAGGTTATTCATCTGAACAAATAAAGCTTTTATATCAGAAAACTACATGTGAAATAATAAGATATAATTTACAGCAAACACTGGTGCTGAACTTTAAAGAAAAGGATGAGGAGATTGGCCACTTTGAGAGAGGAGGGCTAAGGATGTCTTCAGCACTCTCCAAATGATTCATTCAATTCCTGCCCTGCTAGATACTTTCTATGATCAATATGTGCCAAAGAAACACTAAATAATTATAGCACCACTCAACAGTGATATTGCTCTCTACTAGTCAAGGGTATTCAGTGAATAGGGTGATGTGTTTTTAAAAGGTAATTGAATCTTCCATAAGAATATAATTTTTATATACATACTAGTTAATTTGTAGCACTTTTGATAAATTATACAAAATCTATAACAGGCAACAACTTACCGGAGTACGTGTCCCATCTGGTGCAGCCACGTAGCTTGAGCCTGAAAAGAAAGCTCAGGTCTAAATGTCAATACAGTCAAACCTTACTAAAAGTAAACCCTTTCTTTATACGGTATAAAATACCTGAACTGAACCCTGTCTATTCAGTATAAACTGACTGAACTGAACCCTGTCTATATTCAGTATAAACTGACTGATCTGAACCCTGTCTATTCGGTATAAACTGCCTTAACTGAACCTTGTCCATATTCAGTATAAACTGCCTGACCAGAACCCTGCCTATTTTCAGCATAAACTACCTGAACTGATCATGAACACTGTCTATATTCAGTATAAACTGCCTGAACTAAACCCTGCCTATATTCAGTATAAACTGCCTGAACTAAACCCCGTCTATATTCAGTATAAACTTCCTGAACTGAACCCTGTCTATATAAAGTATAAACTGACTGATCTGAACCCTGTCCATATTCAGTGTAAACTGCCTGACCAGAACCCTGCCTATATTCAGCATAAACTACCTGAACTGAACCCTGTCTACATTCAGTATAAACCGCCTGACCCGAACCCTGCCTATATTCAGTATAAACTGCCTGAACTAAACCCTGTCTATATTCAGTATAAACTGCCTGAACTGAACCCTGTCTATATTAAGAATAAACTGACTGATTTGAACCCTGTCCATATTCAGTATAAATTGCCTGACCAGAACCCTGTTTATATTCAGTATAAACTGACTAAACTGAACCCTGTCCATATTCAGTATAAACTGCCTGACCAGAACCCTGCCTATATTCAGCATAAACTACCTGAACTGAACCCTGCCTATATTCAGTATAAACTGCCTGACCAGAACCCTGTCTATATTCAGTATAAACTGCCTGAACTGAACCCTGTCCATATTCAGTATAAACTGCCTGAACTGAACCCTGTCTATATTAAGTATAAACTGACTGATCTGAACCCTGCCATATTCAGTATAAACTGCCTGACCAGAACCCTGTCTATATTCAGTATAAACTGCCTGAACTGAACCCTCTCCATATTCAGTATAAACTGACTGAACTGAACCCGGTCTATATTCAGTATAAACTGCCTGACCCGAACCCTGCCTATATTCAGTATAAACTGACTGATCTGAACCCTGTCCATATTCAGTATAAACTGCCTGAACTGAACCCTGCCTTATTCAGTATAAACTGACTGAACTGAACCCGGTCTATATTCAGTATCAACTGACTGAACTGAACCCTGTCTATATTCAGTATAAACTGCCTGAACTGAACCCTGTCCATATTCAGTATAAACTGCCTGACCAGAACCCTGTCTATATTCAGTATAAACTGCCTGAACTGAACCCTGCCTTATTCAGTATAAACTGACTGAACTGAACCCGGTCTATATTCAGTATCAACTGACTGAACTGAACCCTGTCTATATTCAGTATAAAATACCTGAACTGAACCCTGTCCATATTGATTAGAAACTGACTGAACTGAACACTGTCTATATTTAGTATAAACTGCCTGACCCGAACCCTGCCTATATTCAGTATAAACTGCCTGGACTAAACCCTGTCTATATTCAGTATAAACTGCCTGAACTGACCCCTGTCTATATTAAGAATAAACTGACTGATCTGAACCCTGTCCATATTCAGTATAAACTGACTGAACTGAACACTGTCTATATTTAGTATAAACTGCCTGACCCGAACCCTGCCTATATTCAGTATAAACTGACTGATCTGAACCCTGTCCATATTCAGCATAAATTGCCTGACCAGAACCCTGTCTATATTCAGTATAAACCGACTAAACTGAACCCTGTCAATATTCAGTATAAACTGCCTGACCAGAACCCCACCTTTATTCAGCATAAACTACCGGAACTGAACCCTGCCTATATTCAGTATAAACTGCCTGAACTGAACCCTGTCTATATTAAGAATAAACTGACTGATCTGAACCCTGTCCATATTCAGTATAAACTGCCTGACCAGAACCCTGTCTGTATTCAGTATAAACTGCCTGAACTGAACCCTGCCTTATTCAGTATAAACTGACTGAACTGAACCCGGTCTATATTCAGTATCAACTGACTGAACTGAACCCTGTCTATATTCAGTATAAAATACCTGAACTGAACCCTGTCCATATTGATTAGAAACTGACTGAACTGAACACTGTCTATATTTAGTATAAACTGCCTGACCCGAACCCTGCCTATATTCAGTATAAACTGCCTGAACTAAACCCTGTCCATATTCAGTATAAACTGACTGAACTGAACCCTGTCTATATTAAGTATAAACTGACTGATCTGAACCCTGTCCATATTCAGTAAAAACTGACTAATCTGAACCCTGTCCATATTCAGTATAAACTGACTAATCTGAACCCTGTCCATATTCAGTATAAACTGACTAATCTGAACCCTGTCCATATTCAGTGTAAACTGACTGATCTGAACCCTGTCCATATTCAGCATAAATTGCCTGACCAGAACCCTGTCTATATTCAGTATAAACTGCCTGAACTGAACCCTGTCTATATTAAGAATAAACTGACTGATCTGAACCCTGTCCATATTCAGTATAAATTGCCTGACCAGAACCCTGTCTATATTCAGTATAAACTGACTAAACTGAACCCTGTCAATATTCAGTATAAACTGCCTGACCAGAACCCTACCTATATTCAGCATAAACTACCGGAACTGAACCCTGCCTATATTCAGTATAAACTGCCTGAACTAAACCCTGTCTATATTCAGTATAAAATACCTGAACTGAACCCTGTCCATATTCAGTATAAACAGACTGAACTGAACACTGTCTATATTCAGTATGAATTGACTGAACTGAACCCTGTCTATATTCAGTATAAACTGCCTGACCCGACCCCTGCCTATATTCAGTATAAACTGACTGATCTGAACCCTGTCCATATTCAGTATAAACTGACTGAACTGAACACTGTCTATATTCAGTATGAATTGACTGAACTGAACCCTGTCTATATTCAGTATAAACTGCCTGAACAGAACCCTGTCCATATTCAGTATAAACTGCCTTAACTGAACCTTGTCCATATTCATCATAAACTGCCTTAACTGAACCCTGCCTTATTCAGTGTAAACTGCCTGAACTGAACCCTGTCCATATTCATCATAAACTGCCTGAACAGAACCCTGTCCATATTCAGTATAAACTGAACCCTGTCTATATTCAGTATATACTGAACCCTGTCTATATTCAGTATAAACTGCTTGAACTGAACCCTGTGTCTTATTCAGTGTAAACTGCCTGAACTGAACCCTGTCTATATTCAGTATAAACTGACTGAACTGAACCCTGTCTTTATTCAGTATAAACTGACTGATCTGAACCCTGTCCATATTCAGTATAAACTGCCTGAACTGAACCCTGTCTATATTCAGTGTCAACTGACTGAACTTAACCCTGTCCATATTCAGTATAAACTGAACCCTGTGTCTTATTCAGTATAAACCGCCTGAACTGAACGCTGTCTATATTCAGTATAAACTGACTGAACTGAACCCTGTCTATATTCAGTGTCAACTGACTGAACTTAACCCTGTCCATATTCAGTATAAACTGAACCCTGTGTCTTATTCAGTATAAACCGCCTGAACTGAACGCTGTCTATATTCAGTATAAACTGACTGAACTGAACCCTGTCTTTATTCAGTATAAACTGACTGATCTGAACCCTGTCTATATTCAGTATAAACTGAATGAACTGAACCCTGTCCATATTCAGTATAAACTAACTGAACTGATCCCTGTCCTTATTCAGTATAAACTGACTGATCTGGACCCTGTCAATATTCAGTATAAACTGACTGATCTGAACCCTGTCAATATTCAGTATAAACTGACTGAACTGAACCCTGTCCATATTCAGTATAAACTGAACCCTGTCTATAATAAGTGTAAACTGCCTGAACTGAACCCTGTCTATATTCAGTATAAACTTAACCCTGTCTATAATAAGTGTAAACTGACTGAACTGAACCCTGTCTATACTGAATGAACCTTTTTTGGTATTCACATTTTATTTTGACAACATAAATATAACATTTATGCAGAGAATTTCTTCACTCACTCTTCCTTCCTGTTTAATACATAATAATAAATTGAAGATATTTTACAACCTCCTACACAATGATTTTGCTGTCAGAGAAAATAATAATCAACAAAACAAAAAACAAATTCTTTTATAAATAATTATTATTGTCATTTAACATCATTACATACAAGCAAGAATAGTGTCAATAAAATCCCACATCTTTAATACATATACATGCCCTCTTATGTTCTTGGTTGTATTAGACAAATTTTTCTATCATTTCATAATACAATAGATATCATTTTCCAATGGCAATTGTAGGTATAATTCTCCTCTATTTACAATGATAGATACAGAAATTTATTACGAGAAATAAGTAATTTATTGCAAAGATGAAACAATGTCACAAATACAACAGACAAAGGATTGAACTGTCTATATTCAGTATCAGTGACAATGGATGTCTTCCATCAACTGAAGAATATGACACAAAAGACTTGACACAGCTACATTCCCAGAGCAAGTTAACGGACAGATAGATGGATGCAGTGGTAGGGGCATAAGCTTAAAATCTAACAGCTTCTATAATACAATTGGTTTCCATTGAATCCATTTTTTTTTCAAAATAAATGAGTAAGAGTAATCCAGATATGTTCTTATCCTCTGTATTTTCTAGTAGATCTGATACCTACCATCTCCAATATACCTTTACAAAACCCTTTTGTGTTTTACAATCACAACTAATCAAGAACTGTATTACGTCCATTGGATATAACTGTAGAGGCCATTTTGTAATCATAACTTTAGGGATTCTGATAATTGATTTTATTTTGTTAAGTTTACAAAACATTTCATAATTGACCTGTGGGTCAACATCATTTCTCACGGGGCTATGGTATATGTTCACAGGAAATATGTGCCTGGCAAGCCAAATGCATCGTTGGGACAATACATGTATTTGACCAAGACCGTGATAACACCAGACAACCATACATAACCACGCACAAGAAATAAAGTGAATACTTTGCTGTATCAATCTTATCTTCCATTACCTCAAAATAAACAAATCTTGTTAACTCACCATAGAAATGTCCGAAATCCTTGTGAGCTGAAATGACAGAGAAGCATGCAGTCTGTATTGCAGTTACAAACACGTAGTTATATTTCTTTGAAAATATATCAGTAAATTCTGTGAAATCCACTCAACATGTCCCTTAATTCTGTAAAATCCACTCAACATGTCACTTAATGTCACATTTCTGTTATAACATGTTCTCCTTAAACACAATTTTACTCTTTGTGATATTTCTTATTTTGTATCAGGTTATTTTACATGAAATCATCTTAGTGTCAGTTTTCCAGAATTTTTGGCAGGCAAAAAATGTACAGGATGACAATATTGTAATGAAAACGTACCGAGCTAGCTGTTTTATTTCAAATCTATGTGTTCCCCTGCATTTTCGATGTTATTTACGCGCTAGAGCAGAGCTGGTCTTGACCTAGCACCGGTCAAAACACATAGGTGATGCGAACTATCTCCGGGTGATTGACAGGTAAGGCAGGGCCTATGGGTATATAAGCCGGCCAAGACCACATGTATCGCCTTTCAGCCACAGCCTCTCAGCCAGCGTGCAGGGCCTCTTGGCCAGTGTGCATGGCCACAGCCCTTCGGCCAGTCTGCCATTTGCCATTCTGCGTCAGATGCTACACGAGAGCAGATCATTACTTGTTGGTTATAAGTATACTAGAGACCTAGCTTTCAATGATGGGGTATGTCTGAATAAGACTGTTACCCATTACGATCGCTCAATCGAAAGTATCATACCTTACAAGGGCGAGCTATCGTGTTGCTTTGATTCTGTTACATTGATAAATCAAGGACACTGTGATATCTCGTTAGATTGCTAAAGGGAGTAATAGGGACCACAGAGTGGTCAGGGTATTCTCAAGTATTACGTGTGTTTTATCACTTGTGTTGTAAGTGTATTTATACTGTATTTAAAGTGTATTTATTTTGCATCTATAATGTATTGATAGTGTATAAAGGTAATATTAAATTCATGTAATTGGAATTTCAAGATTTGAAGTATCGTAAACGTTTATGATAATGTATAAAGTAAAATTACTATTTTGCTGAAGTCCTAGATGTTATTCTTATATCAATGAATAATTCCTTGTTGGAAAATATAATAAATAAGTACAAGAAAGTGTTGTAATTTTATTATCTGAGTACTGGTCATTGAATTGTTGAGATTTGTAGATTGTATTTTACCCGAATGTGACATATATGCATGTAGAGCGTATACATACTTTTATTGTGTATTTCAGAATGTTTCTATTTATAAGCATTAAAATGCAATAGAACCGAACNTGATTCTGTTACATTGATAAATCAAGGACACTGTGATATCTCGTTAGATTGCTAAAGGGAGTAATAGGGACCACAGAGTGGTCAGGGTATTCTCAAGTATTACGTGTGTTTTATCACTTGTGTTGTAAGTGTATTTATACTGTATTTAAAGTGTATTTATTTTGCATCTATAATGTATTGATAGTGTATAAAGGTAATATTAAATTCATGTAATTGGAATTTCAAGATTTGAAGTATCGTAAACGTTTATGATAATGTATAAAGTAAAATTACTATTTTGCTGAAGTCCTAGATGTTATTCTTATATCAATGAATAATTCCTTGTTGGAAAATATAATAAATAAGTAC